ATTTAACATGATAGATGACAGGCCATGGCTGTGCCTGTGGGAAATTTGCAGTGACCTACCTGCAGCCACTAGATGTAGCTGGCACTCTGTGCACTTTGGATTGTAACTTAGTTGTAGATTGATTTCTAATACAGTGGTACCTCAGGTTAAGAACTTAATTCGTTACGGAGGTCCGTTCTTAACCTGAAACTGTTCTTAACCTGAAGCACCACTTTAGCTAATGGGGCCTCCTGCTGCCGCCATGCCACCAGAGCACGATTTCTGTTCTCATCCTGAAGCAAAGTTCTTAACCCGAGGTACTATTTCTGGGTTAGCGGAGTCTGTAACCCGAAGCATCTGTAACCTGAGGTACCACTGTACAAGCCTCAATTTGTGCTGCAATGTCCTGCTCTGCCCAATTTCACCCGTGCGATTTAAAAATGCTTTTCAGCCTCTTCCACTGTTAGCACACCTGTGTGGAAGGCAGACGCTCTTGTGTCAGGTTTCTAAAATGAACTGATGGTCAGAAAGGCAGGTAGATCTGCAATCAAATTTAGTCTTCCGCCAGTAATTCCACACACACCCTTAATTTGGGAATGGCTTTAAAAGAAACCCACAAACATTTTAACCTTTCCTCTCTGCATAGAAATGACTCTTTGGTGACAGGTGTGCTGTTGGAAGTGCCCAGAACAATGGTTCTGGATGATTTCAACAGCCATGCTGAGGCTGCCTTTAGTGTTCTAGCTCGGGGCTTCAAGGCATCCATGATGACCAGGGTAGCCATGCATGGGATAACCTCCAGGTTGGATTACTGCAATGCACGCTGTGTGGGGCTGCCCTTGAGGGTGATCCAGAAACTGCAGCTAGTGCAAAATGCAGGGACTTGACCGCTCACCAGAGCAGGGTATTACTACCATGTTCTGCTGCTGCTGTTGCTGCTGCAAGAATTGCACTGGCTCCCAGTTAGCTACAGGGCTAAGTTCAAGGTGCTGGTTCTGGTGTATAAAGCCCTATACTGCTTTGAACCAGGATACCTAAAAGCTTGTCTCGCCTCTTATACGGCTAATCCATCCCTATGCACTGCAGGTGAGTGCCTTATCAGCACATCCATTCTACGCAAGATTGGAATTGGGTTTTTAGTGTAGGAATCCCCTCCCCTTAAATATCAGACAGGTGCCATTTCTGTTGCCTTTTCATCACCTTCCTCTTCCAAAAAGCCTTCTAAGTAAAGATCTTTCCCACTTTGCATCTGTATCAGAATCGCTTTTAGAGGTTTCACTTTATCCCTTGTGCGTTTGCCCCCCTGAGCTGCTTTGGGAGGAAAGGCAGGTTATAAATTTAACAAATAAATAAATATTAGAAGTCCTTCTGTTTTAAAAGTTGGAAAATTCCGCTCCTTCACCACAGCCAGGTTTGTTCTTGGCTGCAGATCATGGTTAAGGAGGAGATAAATTCCGCATTCGGAATCTAATTATACTACTAACCATCATAAAAATAATTCTGCATTTTAAACCACATAATTCAATAAATGTCTCCAAACAATGTAGGTGACAGTTAAACAACCCTTCTATTATCTGATTTCTTTCGAAAACCTCTGCTGCATTTAGGGTGCAAAATTATTCCTAATTCTGAATAAAATACAATCTACAGTGTCTCTTGTATCGGTAATTATCATAGGTTATGGCTTGGAATAGGCTTGGAAATCTAGGTTCAAATCCCTGCTAATTCATGAAGGTTATCAAGCGACCTTTCAGTTTGCCCAACTCACATGGCTGTTTTGAGATACTTAAAAACCGGATAATCCTGCATATTCCACGCTGAGAAAGGTTGCACTAGAAATGTGGATGGATAGATTTGCTTTCACTGGGTCTGAATCTGGCTCCTTCAGCTTTGACTGGTGATATACACCAGGCACCCCCAACTTCGGCCCTCCAGATGTTTTGGACTACAATTCCCATCATCCCTGACCATTGTTCCTGTTAACCAGCGATCATGGGAGTTGTAGGCCAAAACATCTGGAGGGCTGCAGGTTGGGGGTACCTGATATCCACTGAAATTACCCTCAGTAAGTGTATGCAGATCGACTCAGAAGAAAGCCCTACTGAGCTCACTAAGGATTGCTAACAGGTTAAAAGAGTTTAGGATTACAATTTAAAACTCATGTTTTGATTTATTTACATAGTATAAAGCCATAGTAACTCTTGGTCAATCCTTAGTCAGTTCAATCCTTATTTCCTAGATTTTTCATAATACTAATAATATCAGCGGGTTGTATCTGTGACTTAATGATTACATGCCTTACCCAAGGGATACACTCACATATTCACTCACTAACTTCCTACAGACTCACTCGCTAACTTACTTGAATAGCACAGAGTACTGCATAAATGAAACCATAATAATTAATTCCCACCCACCTTGAAGGACTTGGGAAATTTCAGAACTCTTAAATCCAGAGCCTGGGGGAATTCCTCCAGATCCTTGGAGCAGCTTTCTTACACAAATCCAACTTTATACATGGGTTTAGAATAACATTATTTGCAATAAATCTGTCATATTTAAAAGGTTTTCTGTGTCACCTAATTGGTTCTGCAATAGTTGGCCTCCACCACCTGGGTACTGAAGAAGAAGGCCAACAAACCAAAGAAGCTGTTCAGCTCAATAAAACCTTTTCAGTAATATGATGGTGGAAAACTGGGGAAATAGCTGTTATAAAAGAAACCTGATTGGAACATTCAAAAGATGTATATTATCAAAACCTCACTTAGCAAAAGGTACTGGTTCCTATTGATGACCAAGTCAGATTAACACCATATTCAGAACTTTGTAGGATAAGATCTGTGTCCCTTGATATGGGACAACCTTGTGATGTTGTCTTGTCCTCCAGAGCTTCTGGGTTGGAAGATCCTTGGTAGTATCCCACTTTCTCTTTCCTTTAGTGTTTTCTAGAAGGGACTGGTGAGAAGGCAGGGACCCCAACAATAAGTGGAGTCAGAGGCTATGCCTGGTGGAGCCAACCAATTCTACTTTTGTCCCCATCTTCCTATTGCTCTGTTCTATAAGAGTAACTGCAAGGGTGGCTGAGTTTTTGTCAACAGCATCTCTCAGAGTGGTGAATGGCACTATTTATCGGGAAGAAATTCCAATGAAAATGCTCATTATTACATATTTTACATGGCTGTTTATTTGTATATATTTTAAAATTTTATATGGATGTTTTATGATTGCCTATACTTGTAATACCTAATAAAGGTTTGGCGAAGAAGAAGAGAGAGTAACACTGATGCTAAGGAGAAGGAAGCTGACGGACAGCACACACACGCACACCCCAGTCAGTAGGCAGGCTGGTGAAGATAGGGTTGTCATATGTCCAGAATTTCCCGGATATAGCTGGAATATGGCAGTCGTAAACAGTGTCCAGACAAAAATCGCCAACATGTCCAGGAAAATCTGGACATATGGCAAACCCATGTCAGAAGTCTATATCTGGTGAATTTAATGTGGGGGTTTTTTTAGATTTTGGAAAAAATGTTCAACAACTTTGGGCAAAACTCAACAACTTTTGTGTCCAGATTTTCACTTTTTGAAATATGGCAACCCTAGTGGAGACCAACCATTACTAACAGGTAAAAGAGTATAGGATTACATTTTAAAACTCATGTTTTGATTCTATTTACCATATTTTTCTGTGTATTGGATGAGGTTTTTTGACTCAAAAATCACATCAAAAAACTGGGGTCATCCAATACACGGATAGTAGCACGGGGGGGGGGGGAGCACCACGCCGCCAGCCATTCGGTTGATGGGAGCACGGTTTCGCCAGTTGCCGCAGTGAGCGGGGAGTGATCTGGGGGATGTTTTCTGCCCGCAGCTGCGTCAGGGGGGGGGGAGAGAAGCTGCGTGCCGCCAGCCAGCTCTTTGGCAGGAGCCCAAATTCACCCGATGCCGCTGAGCATGGTAAGCACTCCCTGGATTGTTTCCCGTGTGTGGCGGCATCGGGGGAGGTTGTGCTCCTGCAAACCGGATGACTGGAGGAAGTGCAAATTCACCCGATGCCGCTACGCCCAGGAAACGATCTAGGAAGTGTTTCCTGCCCACAGCTGCATGGGGGGAGAGGGGCAACAACTTTGGCCCATCTCCCCTCATTTTCTTAAAATTTAGCCCCCCAAAATTGGGGGGGGTCTTTATACAAGGGGGCGTCTTATAGACGGAAAAGTATGGCATATAACATAAAAAGCCATAGTAACTCTTGGTCAATCCTTAGTTAGTTCAAGGCTTATTTCTTAGATTTCTCATCTTATTTAGAAGGAGAAAGCATCAGTGGAGGCTTATCAACAAATCAGAGGCTCTCCCCACCATCCCCAGTCAGCACTGTGCATTTAAAGCAACACCATGCCATTTTAAACAGTGGTCACTTCCCCCAAAGAATCATGGGAACTTTAGTTCCTTAAGGGGACTGAGAGCTGTCAGGAAACCCCCTTATTCACCTCACAGGGCTACAATTTCCAAAGTGCCCTGGGAAAGAGGGATTGATGGTGAAAGCATTCAAAGATTAGCAGCTCTGTGGGGGGAAATAGGGGTCTCCTAAGCAGAGGCGGAGCTAGCTACTCCGGCCCCCGGAGTGGCACACATGTGGCACACGGAGGTGGGCCGAGCGTCCCAGGAGGGCGGCGCAGCGATGTCACAAACACACCCTTCAGGAATGACACCTGGGGCAGACTGCACCTCTCACACACCCCTTCCTCCGCCAGTGCTCCTAAGCAGTCTCAGCACCCTTAACTTCCTGCTGCCATTTGGGAACAGCATTCTGGAGAAAGGGCAAGCAGAGGACAAGGGGCTTCTCCCTTGGTTGCCAGGAAGAAGGCAATCCTCACAATTCTTGGGAGCAGGGGAGCATGCTTTCAATGTACGGTGTGTGCAGAGTGCAACTTTTCCCTGCCTGTGTGTTGAGCTGCACCTGCTGAAATTCCTTCATCATTCCACACGGCTGTTAAAGGCCCAAGAGCTCTGTTCTATTTGGCATTTGGTCTTGGGAGCTCGCAGCCAAACCCTGGAGAGGAGTATTCTTGCCTGCTGTGTCATCCACTCCTCCCGCCCTCTGTGGCAGGAACAGAGGGAAAGTTTCCTATTGCTGTTGGTTCTTCCCTCTCTTGTCGTTCTTTTGGGCCTCCTCCTGCCATCTTCTTCTCTTCTGCTCCTTGTTCTCTCCCCAGGTAAGTGTGACAAAGTCGATAGCTGGCAGCATGGTTGAGAGACAACTATGGAAGTTTTCAAACAATATTTTGGTGCACGAGCTTTAAATAGTGTGGGCATGTGATTGCGACTATGGGAAAATAAACTACAGCTGCAAGCCTGTATCCACTAACCTGGGAATAAGCCCCACTCAATTCAGTGGGCCTTACATTTGAGTAGTCACATATAGAATTGCGTTGTGAGGTAAATAGCCTTACCGGAGCTTCCAGTGAGAGACCAATGTGAAGTTGATGTTTTTTGGAGGAGATAAATCTAAAGCAGGATTAGGCTACGACTGTGCGGTATGAGGAAACTCTTGTGTTTTCGTTGCAAAAATAAATAACGGTGGTTAAGATTTAAGCACAAAGCAAAGCAGCCTATATGTGTTTCTAGAACAGTTTTGGCTTGGGGACTGTTTTGAAACTCTGACACTATGGATTTCACATCTCTGTGAATTCATTGTGCATCAGAGTGCCTTTCCGACGTCTGTTTTGACAAACTACAGTGCTTAAAGCCTTACAGAAATTGCACAACTGTAATTCTGTATACAGAAGAACCATGCAGCAAAAGCAGCACTGGACACTTGACAGGTGTGTTGTTTAGTTTTTGACAACAAACAATAATAGAGGCGCACTGTTTGCTTTTCTCTGTGATGCTTAACTTTTAAATAATCTGCACTCAGTGGCTGACAGTGTAAGCCTATATCTGCTTACTTAGGGAGTAATTCTCACAGAACATAGTGGGACTTGTTTCCAAGCACATAGGCCTAGGATTTGGGCTGTGAAATATACCTATGGTGAGCTGGCATGGTAGAATTCTTTATTTGTTTTGTTGGGTGAATGTGAGGAATAAAGGCAGTTATCAAGGATCATCACTGTCATCCTTTTTTTAGACAGGCTTAAAATAACTCATGACTTCAGAGCAGGTGCCATGTGTCTTTCTGTTGGATTTGAGGGGAGGGGGGTGGGAAGCTAAAAATAGGCAAGTCCTGCAAACTTCTGAACTCCTCTACTGGGAGAAAAAGACCTTGTGACAAGGAAAGTGGCACTTTCTGTAATTCATCCCTGCAATGAAGAGGAAGACCCAAAACACATTTTTAAGGCAGCTTGCTTCTGTTGGATGATCAGTTGTTCAGAATCTATTTTAACATGAGTGCCAAGTGCAGTAAATTGGTAAGAGAAGCTTAGAAAGGGAGCTCCCTCTTGGAAAGGGAGAAAACTTTTGCTCTGATGGTTAACAAGAACACCATTGGAAAGGAATGTGTTAAATAACTGCTGTGTTTTTAGTGGTAAACAACCTGGGTTCAGCCACAACCTCCTGAAGTGGGTCATATACAGGTTAACAGCACAGGGCTTCCCCCTGTATAAACGTACTCTTTCCACATCAGTATACCTGTGTATGGGATACACTACTATCAAGCTGTGGTTAGCAAGTGGACTTAGGTGCATAGGTTAAAGCTGCACATGGCTTGCTTATTTTATAAACTAGATCAGTTTCCTTTCTGCCACAAAAGCAATATATTCTTGCACGCTACCCCAATCTCTGAGTGGCATGAGATTCCAGGGATTCCAGGCGCATACCCAGAGTTCGTGTTTCCTTTTGGAAATGAGGCACAGCAGAGACTGTGGTGTCTTTATGATATATGGTTTATTTACACATTTATACAACCTGAGCCTATGATGGAGGCGTTCACAGCATTAACTCCCCAAAAGGGTCTTGTTTCTTGATTCAAACAGAAATCAAGCATCGCTCTCAAATATTGCGCTGACTCTCTCTCTAGCTTACTACTTTACTTCTAGATTACAAAACTCTGTCTTTGTCTACTAACTAACTGTGAATGGTCAGCAGGTCTTGAGGCAGATACGAAGATTATGCCCATGACTGGTGTGGGTTGCAGTTCTGCAGTCTATCATGTCTAAAATGGCATTTTATTTATTTATTGTTTGCATGGGCCCTACATGGGCCCACCACTTAGTAAGGAGCCTGCAGACTTTTACTTCAGCTTCAGCCCTGACAGCCACCATTGATACTGAGACTAAATAACAATACGAGGATTATTCTTCTGCATTGAGCTGCCCTCAAAGGCTGCTTGGTACAGTCAAACCTCTTACGTCCACCTCTGCTCGCATCCATTTTGCCCAGTGTCTGCGGCAAACCCGGAAGTAAAAGGCAGGTTTGCCACCATTCACACATGCGCAGGAGCAGCGATCGCCATTCGCACATGCGCAGAAGTGGGCAATCACCGCCTGCACACAACAGCGCCTCTCTCAGCAACCCGTTTCAACTTCTGGACGGGCCTCCAGAACAGATTGTGGTTGTGAGTAGAGGTTCCACTGTATTTGCATCTGTTGTAGCACATGGGGGACTGTCTTCTTCGTAGTGACTTGGGCCCACTATACCATAAGCCTGGTGCCCTCTAGATGTTTTGGGTTACGTGTCCCATCGGCCCAAGGCAGCATTGCAAATAGTTGAGAATAATGGGAGTTGTAGTCTAACAAGAAGATTGGGGGAAGCTGCTCTATGATATGTTGATCCCAGTTTCTCTCTCCTTCCTTATGTTCCATTCACAAAGTCTGTGATTTTCTACCAGCAATTTCTTGATGATGCCCTCTGTCGAAGTTAAAATTGCCACAGTAAATCAAAGAGGTTTTTTTTACTAACGTGTGCTAAAAAGAGATAGAGAGAGTCAACAGTCGGCAAAATAATGGGGCATGGCTTTTTGTTCTGCAAAAAAAATAATCTTTTGGGGATTAAGGGTTTGGTTTACTAATGGGAAATGATTTCTTACATAGCAATTCACGGCAAATTACTGGGAAGAAATTCCCCTTGGTTTGAGTACTTTCAAGTTAGATCATGCATACAGTAATACGTTGGATCAAATTGGCAGACAAGACATGTGACAGAATTTGAACCACAGTAATTATGAAGATCAAGAAATGTATGTCTGCAAAAATACATTGCCTGCTTAATAGAGATGACACAGAACCAGAGCAAATAAAAGACTAGATGACAAAATGGGCTCAAAATATTGGAGAAAACATACCACTCGTTACCTGGGATATTCTGTGGTAAAAGGCACATTGGTTCTCCTTAGATATGGGAATAAGAGGAAATTCCTTTATCACCCCGGTTCAAATACAAAATATATAAATAAAAATTAGCCTCCCACACACTGGAACTACCAAAAGGAAAGAGGAGATTACTTTCATATATGATGTAACAAAAATATATCTCAGGGGAAAAGAATGAGACAATTTAAAAAACCTTAAGGTGTGAAATTCCTCTTCATCCTTTGTTCTTGTTGAACTATGGAAAGTTTGGCTACGCCAGAACATAAAGCATTAGCTGTAATAAGAATAAATGTGCTGGCTGAAGGAAATTTTCTCTCTTTTTTGCAAGAAAATATTGTGATTTATTGATTAAGGAAATAATTCTTCTCAGCTTCCCATTTCTTGTACAATGAAACAGTCCTCTGAAAAGCCTTTAGGCAAAGCTGAAACGAAACAATGAATACCATGACTAATGAATCTTGTTTAGATAAATCTATTGGTGCTAAAAGAAAGACTGTGGCCAAGTAGCTTCTGATTAATCGCCATTAATTGGGACAAATGCACAAAACCTACAGTTTTTTCCAGAGGGCTTCGGTGAGTGGCAAAACTGTTTGGATGTGTGTGGAAGGAAGATACATGAAAGGGCTAAATAAATAAATATCTAGGTTGTCTAAGATGCCAGTTAAGCTTGTGCTAAATATAATATTTACTACTATCAACAGGCATGGCCTTCTTTGGCAGATTTTACTCTATTCTTGATTGCTGGTGTAGCTAAAAGCCTAACTTTGTCTCACACCCAGGTAACATCCCTAGAATGGAACATGACCAAAATGGAGCTGGCCAGCAACCCCCACCTCCCATAAGCAGCCCTGAAGCGCTGCCTACTGAGAATGGTCTAGAGCAACAAAGTGAAAAGTCGCCTCCGAGGCCTCTGTCCCCTGAGAACGCAGCGCATTCTCAGCCTGAAATAAAGCTGTGCGATATATCTGAGGAGCTGAGCCGACAGCTGGAGGACATTATTAAAACCTACGGCTCAGCTGCCAGCCCGGTGGAGGAAAGGAATGCTAAAGCGACGACAGACAGACCTGAGAAAGGAGATTCCTTTAATAATGAGGATGGAGAATATGAGGATGCCCATGACGAGGCTGAGAAGGAACAGGCAGCTTCTGGGGATGCATCTGGATCAAAGGAATCCAGCAGCCAGAAAGACCAGAAGCTGGAAAAGAAAATCCTGAAGGGACTAGGCAAGTAGCTCCTTGCGTAACTGAAATGCAGAACTTAATAGGACTCGTTGGCTATGTTGGAAAAGGCGCCGCAGTGGTCGTCTCCATAACATTTAATTGTTTGGTACCAAAAGTACACATTTTCCTCTTGTCCCTGGCAAGAAACCAGTTTTTGTTTTTGTTTTTAATATGTGACGCAATAATGGGCATACATGGCAATTAACTGATGGTACAATTCTGTACATCACACCTAGACTTGTATATTTTTTGGGTGCAATAATGCAAAGCAGCATTTACCAGCAGTTCTCAACCTGTGGGTCCCCAGATGTTGTTGGACTACAACTCCCATCATCCTTGAGCTCTGGCCTTGCTAGCTAGGGGTGATGAGGGTTGTAGTCCAACAACATCTGGGGATCCACAGGTTGAGAAAGGCTGATTAAGGCTATTATTATTATTACAGTCATAACTTGGAAGTTGAACGGAATCCATCCAGAAGTCCGTTCAGCTTCCACAGCGTTTGAAAACCAAAGTGTGGCTTCTGATTGGCTGCAGGAAGCTCCTGCAGCCATATCAGAAGCCCCGTTGGACATTCAGCTTCCAAAAGAACGTTCAAAAACCGGAAGAGTCACTTCCAGGTTTCAGTTATTTGGGATCCAAAACATTCGAGAACTAGGCTGTTAGAAAACCAAGGTACGACTGTATTGGATTTATATACCGCTTAATTGCTAAAGTGTCTTCTTCAGTGAGTGTTTCATCCATCTTGAACTTGCACTAGACATCATACAAAAAATTAGTCTGGCTGTCTGGCAAAAATGTGGAAATAGAACCACTGCAACAAAGATCACCAACCTTTTGGAGCCCATGAGCCCATTTGCCAACCAGAAAGCGTGTGTAGCACATGGGTAAGGTGTGGGTAGCCACAACCAGTGTAGCACAAGGGTGCTACAGTGACAACCCCTACGCTACTACCATACTTAAAAGAAGGTCACCTAAGGTTGCTTCAAAAGCGCTTGGTAGAAATCTAAAGAGAAATGTTCCACACAATCTGCTGCTAACATTTCTGAATATAGAAGCTAAAACCAATCTAAAATGCAGCTTCCAGTTGTTACAAATTCTTGTATTTTGCATGAAGTGCTCTCTGTGAGAATGTCCTTTTTAAAAATTACTTCAGGAAAAGAAGCTACCCTGCTGATGCAACATTTGAACAAGCTGAATACCCCAGAAGAGAAGCTGGAGATCCTATTTAAGAAGTATGCTGAACTGGTTAGTATAGCAGCTACGGAGAAAGGATAGAGACAGCCCCACTTTAAAGTGTATACATCTAAAAATAATATTGTATTGCTGGTGAAAGTGCAGAAAGGGGACAGCTAAAACAACCTTTCCTCCCCTGGGGGCTTTTTAGCAAGCAAGGAAGGACATGATAAGTGTTTGAAATGATGCATGGTGTGAAGAAAGTAGATTGAAAGAAGTTCTCTCCATCTCTCATACAATACAGCCGAGGGTCATCCAAAGAGGATGAGATGTAGCAATGGCCAGCAGCACAGACAGCTATAAAAGGGAATTAGGCAATATATTATTCACAGAATACCAGTTGCTGGGGTGCAACTTGTCCTCATGTCCTACTTGAGAACTTCCCTTAGGCACCTGGTTGGCCATTGTGGGAACATTAGGAAGGACCATAGCACCATGGCAGAAGATCCCAGGTTCAGTCTCCAGGTGGGGCTGGGGAAAGTGCCTGGCCGAAACCCTGGAGAGCCACTATTGAGCTAGATGGGCCAGTGGTCTGATTTGGTACAAGATGCCTTTATATGTTCTTAGCATATTCCTGGACTTGGTCTTATCCAGAAGGCAGGGCACTTTGTGTGCTCTTATATGTGATGCGATGTTGGGTTCTTGGGTTACAACCTGGGGGCTGATATTATGCTTCTAAGAGCCCTGCTGAAGCAATAAGAAGAGAGAATTCCCCCCCACACACACATATATGGTTTTCCCTTGGACCTCTCATTTGACCCCTCTAAGGTCTGATGTTGGGGTCCTGCTTGAGGCAGCAAGTAGAGGTGAGGGGTGAGGATGAAGGAGCAGGGCATATATAAGGAACAGACCAGCATAGCTTCAGCTCCATCATGTCCTGCTCTTGCTTTATCAGGGTTGCAACTTGGCAAGCTTAGTTCTGAGACATTATATTGTTAGAGGTTTGTGGGTGCTGAATGCCTTCGTTTAGTAGTTGGAATTTAATTAGAGCTTGTGTGTTACAACCGGGGGAAAGCCGGACTCTGTGTGTTTTAAGATAGATTCATGTGTGTATTTCCCCTGTGTGCTAGACACTTCTAGTCATTAACGTTAATTAATTATGCTGGGCAAACTTCCTAAGTTGTGTCTTAGGTGGTTCTTAATCCTTGGAAATCAACAGGAGTTGAAAGGTAATGGAGTCACCCTAATTTCCTTTGAGGGGATGGCCTGGGGATAATGAGCCACTAGCACATCAAAGGGGCAGGAACTCTCCCTAAGTTAGAAAAGGCAGAGACAATAAATGCTAAGGGGGAACAGTTTGACAGGAGGAAGTTAGGGGTCAGAGAGAGGCATGACTGGTTGCTGCTGGCTGCAAGGCTGCAGTTGTTGTGAGAGGAACAGAAACTGATGCGGCAGAACCTCTCAAATCTACACTCAGGTTGTATATATGTGCAAATAAACCATATATCATAAAGACACCACAGTCTCTGCTGTGCCTCATTGTCCAAAAGGAAACACAGATCCTGGTAAGTGTGCCTGGTACCCCCAGAATCTCACACCGCTCAGAACATTATAAAAGCAGAGATCAAGTTCAACAGATACCATATAATACAAAGAGTCCGATATTATAGAGAGATACGGAATAAGCCATAAGATATTAAAACCAAAACTTTAAAAAAGCATTATCCAGAATATTTTTCAGGAGTAAATTGGGCTGAGGGAGGGGAAACAGCATTTTGGTTAAAAATGTTTTTAAAGAAGACTGTAAAAATTGATAAGGCAGAACATTTGCTGTTGAGGTGATGCATGTCCACCCTTGTTTGATAAACTTGTACAGGAATAACTGAACAAAGCCTGTTTTGACCACCAATGCAAAGCCTTCCAGCTTCTCCAGGGGGGAAAGGAGCGACCACAAGTCAGATAATTGTTTTCCTTTCAGCAAGTGTTAAAATTACTTTATCATTTTTTAAAAAATGAAAAAGGCCTGCTACAAACCTCAAACCACCTATTCTGAAATGAACAGTTACAGCTTCAGGTTACAGGAACCAGACTTTGGTCTGACCTCATATTTCCTTTGGCCAGCATCTATTTAATTTGGAACAATTTCTTTTGGAGCTGTCCACCTTTAAGTAATGCTTATTGAAATCTTGGTTTTTCAGCCGCTTTCGTTTATCATTGTCTTGTGCTGTGCCCAAGGGGGATGACAGCTTAGCAAAATCTATGCCTGGGCTGAGATGAGTGAGGTCAAGGAAGCTGCTGAAAGGTCTTGCAGTGATGTCATGGGTAAAATTGTCAACTTTTAAAGTGAATTTTAGTCTTGTGCCTCTTTACCAGCTGTGAAGCCATTAGTAGGTGGTGATGTTTATCTCAGTTCTATAAAAAGCTTTGCCTGGTGATTTCTGCATAGCAAGCTGCTGTTAAAAGGTGCAAGCTCAGGCAGCCAGGACAATTCCCTCCATTCCCAGGGCAGATGCAAATGCCGGTCATGGCCACCATCCAAGAGTTCTGCTTTCTAAAGGTAGAAACCACTATACAGCTAGCGGCCTGATTTGCTGGGAAAGTGGTTTATTAGGAACAGGATCGTTGTCCTAGCAACTTATCAATCAATTAAGCACAACTCTCATTTTATATCTTCGCTGTAAAAACAAAATGAGAAAGGTTTTCCAGCAGTCATGGGAGGCAGATGATTTAATGGCTCACTACAGCAAACCAGAACTCCCACTCAAATAAATATTAGTTTCTGTTTCTGTCCTCCCTTTACGCCCCCCCCTTTATTTTTTAGCTAGAGGAACACCGTACTGAACAGAAGAAACTAAAGTATCTGCAGAAAAGGCAGGCACAGCTCACAAAGGAGAAGGACCAGTTGCAGAGTGAACACAGTAGAGCCGTCCTTGCCCGAAGCAAACTGGAAAGTCTCTGCAGAGAGCTACAAAGACACAACAAAACCCTGAAGGTAAAACACTTCCTCTTCTCCCGTTGCTTTCCCCCTGGGAAAGCCACTCTTAAACCACTCAGAGCCGTGCTTTATAGGCATGGAACAAGGCCTGAGAAGAACACACTGACAACCGCACTAACTTGTCTATTCCCAGTCCAGAAAGTCTGGCAGTTTGTAGTCCTGTGGATAAGTGAACTGTCTTTAGCAAGGAATTTTAAGCATTTTCGAATCTCAATTCAATGGTCTTCAGAAGATGCCATGACACTATTTCAAATCAGTTTAAATATATTGTGGCTGATGGCCTAGGATTCTCTTGTGCAGTAGATTAGTTTTTCAATGGCGGTCAATGTTTGGGAGTCAACTGGCAAACTCTGACAGGTTTGGAGTGTGTCTGTGTGGAGAAATGGCTGTTTTTATATTATTGGAATGGAGAGAAAAGAGGGCTGTGAATTAGCTCAAGTCTGGAAATGCTTGAAAGTACAGGACCACTTTTTGAATAGCCTGGTAGCGGCACACTGCCTCAATTTTTGCTCATATTTGTACATTTGTAAGCAAAGTAAATGCTTTGCTCCAAACCCATTTTGTGCTGCCCAGGCAACTTTACAATAGTATAATGTAGATGTGCTCCCTGATTAATGTTTTTTTTGAGTGACAAGCATGCTGATTGGAGTGCACCTCATTCTAAGGTTACCAGATTTTTTTCAATGAATCCAGGGACACTTTTCAAGTTCAGTCAGAATGGATGGATTTTGTCAGTGGACTGATTTGTAAATCTGGGGACTGTCCCTGGGAAACGGGGACGCCGGTAACCTTACCTTATTCCCACCTCTCACATTAGGAACAATGACTATCTCCTAGTTAGTTATTAATGCTGTGCCATAATTGCAATTTTTGGGCTGTGCTATTGTTTCCAGTATTTACAGTTTTGTGCTAAAATGACTGAACCGTAAGTATAGGTATATGGCCCAGATTGAGCATATGGTAAATTTACCCAGCATCTCTCTGGATTGCATTATGAGATTCCTGTTGATTTATGTATGACAGATTTGAGGAACCTTCCAGATGTTGATGGACCACAACTCTGTCATCATCAATCATTGGCTATGCTGCCTGGGATTGATAGGAATTATAGTCCAACAGTCTCACAGGTGCCCATCCTTTATTGTATGGAAACCAGTGTCATGTTAACAGTGCTTTTGATTGCACCTGGAGTGAAAGAAGACAGCTTTGCTCCCTGTTTAGGAAACAAATTGCAAGGCGTTGAGGTGGGCACTTTGTGCTTTGCTCAGTTGGGTTGCACCAGTGAAGCAAATGACAGAATTGTTTGTATTGCCAGGCCAAAGTGCTTTTTAGATATTTGTGTCCTTCTTGCCAGCAGCGTTTTAGCACTGAGGCACTTCTGCAAATATCTATTGCAACACAAGCCATAGAATGTATATCCAGTCATTCAGTAAGACTGCATGCCTGCCTCACCATGCTAACTGGGATCTAATAAGTGTAGTTTAATTTTGATAAACCAATTTGGCACTGGGAAAGACCTTTTACTTGACGTACCTCTGGGGTTGTTGTTGTTTTTTTGTTTTTTGTTTTTTGTATTTCCCATGTGTCTCTCTGACATAACATTGCACATGTTCAAATGGGAAGATGTTGAAACAGTGGCAATGGGGACCTATATGCAATGAATTTATGCTATGCTGCCACTGTAATGTTTTAAACGGCCGGCCAGCACATGGGTGCATAGTCTGATAACTGTTCCCAATCCTAGCTAGAAAACAAACAAACAAGCAAATGAAATACAGTGGTACCTCGGGTTACAGATGCTTCAGGTTACACTCCGCTAACCCAGAAATAGTACCTCGGGTTAAGAACTTTACTTCAGGATGAGAACAGAAATTGCATGGCGGCGGCACAGCAACAGCAGGAAGCCCCATTAGCTAAAGTGGTACCTCAGGTTAAGAACAGTTTCAGGTTAAGAACGGACCTCCAGAATGAATTAAGTTCTTAACCCGAGGTACCACTGTAGCTTCAACATATTATATCAACAATCCTTCTAGTTTGCAGCAGTGGAAATGGGGAGGTAATCATTCCGAATCCTATGTGTGCTTACTACAAAGGAAGGGCTGCTAAATTCAATAGAACTTCATCCCAATTAAGTGTGCATAGAAATGGAGTCTCAGCAACATTTCTGCAGTCTACACATCCATGTTTGTGCCTTTTGGATTAAATGAATTGCAGCCAAATACTGCTTTCTTAATGTATTTTTTGTCCGTTGAGGGTACCTGATACCGTGGCATGGGGACTACCTTCAGCTTAAAAGTACTCTGCTAGAAACCTTAGTCTTAATTTAGTTACTATATCTTCTGTAACAATAAATCTTTGTTTGTGTTGGTCTGCCCAGATGTAACTCCTTGCTCTTTTCAAAGCTGCTATCTCATTAGTGGATGTTTTTATGCTCATTATCTGGCATCTACAGTGCACTCTTTTTTTGCAGAATACACTGGTGACAACTCCCATTTGTTCTGCAGCAAAAGTGAACCGTATAAGCAGCTGCCCTGCTGTTTTTGATCTTGTAATCTGAATTAAAGTGGCATCTTAAGTCTGACAAGTGAGATGGAGCCATGGAGCTCTATCCCTGTCTTCTGGCCAACTGTTGTCTTGAGTACAATACAGGGCCCAGCTCCACAACCCTGCCAGTATTATATCAATGGCCAGGAGCCCTGCCAGGCACCGTGGTACAAGTTCATTGCTCAGATTCAACTCACCAGCACACGGCCAGCAGTTTCTGGTAGGAAATCCTTTGTTCCCAAACCCCATGAATCCTGAGAATAAAATGCCAGCTACAGACATGGGCTGTTAGTTACTGCCTTCTTGGTCAATGTACTGTCAGCTTTTGCCTGAATTTTGGCAGAATGTGACTGAAATTAATTGTGTGCCTCCACCTTGCTTCCAGAATAGGGCCAGGGAGGCTGCATAACATGAGAGGGCTGCTGCTTAACAGGAGAACCCTTAAAAACATACACCCACATAGATACACACATGTGCCCACACACACAAAATCTAGTGGAATAGAACAGATAGACCCACACACTCCCAAACCCCTTAAATACAGGAGATAGTGGCGTACAATGGTGTAGTGTTCAATTTTGAAGTGCAGGAGCTCATCAAGAAAGCTCTCAAAGCCATGTTCCCAAGAAGAGTCACAGGCATTCTCGCAGTACCCAAATCATTAGGAACACTGAAAGGACAATCCTATATAAAATTTCCAAGGAGTGGTTTCCACTGAACTCAGTGATTCTGCCTGCTTGCATTCAACTTGGAAGACACAGTGAGTCTTAACAAAAGATCACCAGCCTGTTGAAATGAAGCCTTTGGCTTTTTCTTGAGAAATGCAAAAGATCTTGCTAAGAAGTATTCCTGCTGAAATTGCTAGCATGAAGCCCATCAGAGGACAGAACTATCCAGCCTCTCATTGATTGATTGATTGATTGATTGATTGATTGATTGATTGATTTTTCCAAATCTGCTACAAATGAACTTGTCAGCTTTATCACCTCATTTATGTGACAGGGCAAGGAGGGTCCATTGGTCTAGTATATGGCAGTGGTGGTTTTATTAAGTTGTGAATTGCCTTTTATATACCATAACTCTCCAAGTGATTTGCAATCCAACAATAAGAATCTACTAAAAAAGATTTTTAAAATATACAAAACAACTGGAGGTGGGATTAAAAGCACTACAAATAAACACCCAATTTTTTCATATAGCTGGAACAGTTTGTAGAAACAAAAATGTCTTGTTTCTAGAAAGTATAAGTAGTGCACACCTGTACAAAGGGTGGGTGCTTGTCATATCTCTACAGTCTCTGAGGTAGGAATGGGGAACCTGTGGCCCTCTAGATGCTGTTGACTCCAACTCCCATCATTGTGCTGGCTAGAGATGAAGGTAGCTGGAACTGCAGCAACATCTGGAGTGCCACAAGTTCTCCATCCCTGCTGTGTGTCTACAAAGTTGACTTCATGGATCAGGAAAGGCATGGGTGCGGGGGGAAGAGGGGTGGAGAAAGGAAGACAAATGTTGTCTTTTATGCTTGTGTTCACATATGTTTACCCCGTTTTTGACCTTCGTCCTGAAGGTCGCCTTCAAAGATTTACCACACTTACCATAAAATAAAACCACCAGTATTTTAAACTCAGCAAAACACAACTGGAAAACTTGCATAGTGGTACAATCCTGTGCAGGTTTCCTTGGAAAGGAATCCCACTGTGTTCTGTGGTGCTTACTCCCAATGAAAGAAATAAAATTTAAGAAAGCTTTCCCCTTCCTTTTTACATATACAGAGACAACAAGGGAGGGAAACCAGTTTGTAATGTTTATTTAATTGCTGTTGCAAATTCTAAGCCCTCAAATCAGAGCAAGAAACATTTCAATCTCAATATCGTAAATGAAGCGCAATAATGAATGTGCCCCCAAAAGTCATTATTTCGTCTGCCCTCCCACTCCTGTTTGAAGGGCACCCAAATCCCCCCACCTGCAAAAGGATGCGTCTCTCACTCATTCACTACAATAACAAAAATCTGGATGCTAATTTTATCTCCTATGGAAATAATATCATTTGCTTTTATTGGAATATTGCATTACAGGAGGAGACCCTTCAGCGAGCAAGAGAGGATGAGGAGAAAAGGAAGGAGATCACTAATCATTTCCAAGGCACCTTGAACGATATCCAGGGGCAGATTGAGCAGCAAAGTGAAAGGAACATGAAGTTGTGCCAGGAGAACAGTGAGCTGGCAGAGAAATTGAAAAGTATCATAGATCAGTATGAAGTCAGAGAGGAGGTGAGAACAACATGCAAATACTGCAGAAGGCTAACTTGCGCCAGGTCTGTTGCTGTAATTTCTAGTCTTCTCTGTTCATTCCTCTTGCAAGTGCATTCAGCTTTTGGCAAAAAGCAGCATAGCTATTTAGTGTTTATGCTCACCCACCCATTCACTGCAGGTAAGTTTCAAAAAGCATCTCTAAAGACATATGCAAACCAAGAATCCTTCTCTCCTTACATGCCCAGCTTTGGAGCACAAATTAGTAGCTTATTAATTTGGTTATTTATTGGAGTATGCTGCATACTGGGTATACACAGGGCATCTAACATCTAAATTTTAAATATCTAAATTAGATATTAAATATCTAAATTAAATATCTAAATTAGATATCTTGTTTTTAAAAACTACCGTAAATCACCAGATTTCATTTCCACTGGCACTGTCTGTATGCAAGACATTAATAATGTTGAATTAACTTTACCTTACTATAAAATATTTGCCTTTGGCTGTTGTCACGCTGGTGACTGAGTGCACATGTGGCAGCTAGGTTTAAACAGGGGGAGGGAAGCCTGGGAAGCCCCAGGCACAGCAGTCAACCCAAGCAGGTCTTCCAAGGATCTTCCTGTTGTCATTGCTGCCACTGGTGGAATGAAGGGGGGAAATGTCCTTGTTGTTGCCGCTGCTGAGAGAAGCCCCAGAAGAAGGTGGCAGGGACTGAAGGAAAGAAAGCCTTTCTGCCCTTCATTCCCACCCTGGCAGCTAGTGGCCCACGGTCCAAACAGGAAGAGTGAGTGAAGAGGTGAGCAGAGGAAGTGAGCCAGGCCCAGGCAGGCAGGAGGACGGAGTGGGTGGAGAAAGGGAGCACTCCCTTCCCAATATCACTGGCTGCTGCCCCTAACCAAGGGGGAAGGGAGGTTGGTGCATTAAGGTTGGTGGCAGGAGCATCAGATTGCCTCCATCTCTGTACTCCCATGTCTCACTCCTCCTCTTTCAGTAAGTGTCAGTGACCCAAGAAGTCAGTAAAGCAACAGTTACAGGGAACCAGGCAGAGGGCCTTCTCGGTAGTGGCACCCGCCCTGTGGAATGCCCTCCCACCAGATGTCAAAAAGAAAAACAACTACCAGACTTTTAGAAGACATCTGAAGGCAGCCCTTCAGAAGGGAAGCTTTAAATGTTTAATAGATTATTGTATTTTTATATTCTGTTGGTAGCCGCCCAGAGTGGCCGGGGAAACCCAGCCAGATGGGTGGGGTATAAATAATGAATTATTATTATTATTTAATTATTTAACTATGGTTGGAGTTTAAGATGTTGTGTGGGGAGGAGTTCAGGGTATGGTGGGTAAGCAGAGTTGGTGAGCAAAGTGAGCAGGAGCAGAAGCCCCAACATTTAAATATGTCATGCTTACTTGACTGTTAACCCTGCTATATTCAGTTAGGCCAACCTTAGATAAATGTGCATAAGGACTGCAATTCCATATGGAATTTTTAAACTCTAAAAATCCATTATTTCTATAGGCGAGGAAATCACTGCAAACAAAATGCATTGCAATGTGTTTTCTTCCAGCACCTAGATAAGATATTTAAGCACAGGGAGCTTCAGCAGAAACTGGTGGATGCCAAGCTGGAACAGTCGCAGGAAGTGATGAAAGAAGCTGAGGAACGACATCAGCGAGAGAAGGAATATGTAAGTACTTGCCTTTAGCTTTATTTTTCCCTTTAGGCCAAGCACAGGTCTGGAATGCCATCTTCCCATTTTAAGTAGTTGTTCCTGGTCTGAACTGAGACAAGTGGCCTCCTATCTTAGCACTGAGTGGAATCCACCCTGGTTTAAAATCTGTAACAATACACAAGCCGGTAGGGCAGAAGGCAGGGAGGAAGAGTAGGGGGCGCCTGAGCCAATGGCAGGCAGAGGCAGCTAACTCTAGTTTTGCTTCCATTCTCTTCCCTTTTCCACAAAGTTGACACTGAAGCGAAGGAAGGGGAAGCTGACAAGCAGTTTCACCACTGGAGTGGTTGTAAGTTAGAGAGCAGTCAGGTGGGCTCAGGACAGACTGAAGCCAGTGCAAACAAGCCTACAGTTTGCTCAAGCATCTGATGCCCCCATGAGAAATTATGTTTGTTTGCCATAGCGATATCCTACAGCTCTCTGGGTACACATGCGGTTATCCATGCTTCTGCTTACTTCAGTCTTGTGATGTCTATTAGACCAAGACAGGAACTAGCCTGAAGGCACCCAGTGAGATCCATGACCAAGAGACAATTCTGAATCCAGATCTTCCCAGTCCCAGCATTCTTCACACTAGGCTACACTGGCTGTGTTATGTTTTTGTGCACTAGGGCACTTGGAAATTATAGCTATCTAAGCATGAAGCTTACCAAACACAAGACTCCTTTAACATCTCTGCTTCTGTGCAGTCGAGTACTCCCCGACTGAATTATAACCTACCCACAAACAATTCGGAGTGAATGGTCAGTAGCCAGCTGTGTCTAACCTCGCCATGCTTTTTTTTTGTGTGTGTGTGTGCAAATAAATCCTGATGACTGCTCAATAAACAGGTGATCTGGAAGCAGCCTTCTTTTTAGAGGACAAATTGAGAGCAAAAAGCAAAGGCTGAAAGCAAGAGCCATCAGACAATGGAATAGCTCTGCTGCCTCCCTGTGGCATAGGGCAAGCTGTTCTCACTCATATGGCATACTGGCTGTTTGTACAACTAGTCATGTTCGTCATATTATTAAAAACGTTCAATGCAGTACTCTTATCCTTACAACTTAAAACATGCCTTAGGAAACATTTTCCAGGGATGCACACCCCTTTTCCTAGTTATCATGAATTTCAAAAGCTCCCTAGACATTTTATCATTACAAAATTGGCAACTACTCTTAGTTGCTGAAAGACACCCCCGCCCCAAGATATACCCAAATTTCCCTAAGATAACCAGCTTAGTATCCATACAGAGGGGCTTGATCTAGCACTGATACAGCAGGTAGCCAGTTATCATCAGTATCATACAGTGGTGCCTCGCAAGACGAAATTAATTCGTTCCGTGAGTTTTGTCGTCTTGCGATTTTTTTCGTCTTGCGAAGCACGGTGTCAGGAAAGTTTTGGAAAAGCTTCAAAAATCACCAAAGTCTTTAAAAACCTCAAAAAGGGCTACTACACCGCGTTCTATGAGTTGCTCCTCGAAGTCAAGTCGCAACTGTATTAACGGTGTTAAGAAAAAGGAAACAAACTTGCAATACGTTTCCGTCTTGCGAAGCAAGCTGTCAGGGAACTGCCATCGGAAGGACAGGAGGTGGAAGGGCTCACAGAGGTTGGGAGAGACTTAGCAGCTGAAGAGGGAACCAGCAGGGGGAGAGAAGGAGCTCCGAGGGAAAGTGAGTCGGAGGGATGGCTCAGAGACACTTCCAGCGAAAACAGTGGGGAGGTGTCAGGACCTCCTATAGGGACACCCACTCCTCGCCGGAAACTGTCGCACCGAGAGTCCAGAAGACGCGTTTCCGTTAAGGAGCTTTTATGCTGGAAGAGATTCCGTAAGCGCCCACTGTCGGATTCTGCTAGCGACTGACGGAGCCATGCTTGAGGGGCTCCGTCATAGGCAGAGGTTTGCGGACTTGACCAAACTCTGAGGGACTAGGATTTTACGCACGAGCAGCTCATCATCCCATCACAGCAATCCGACAGTCCCTGAAAGCAGCTTGTGCAGGGAGAGGCATCATGAGCAACCCAGCCGAAACCGGAGAAGCAGGAGGAGCTGGAGCGGGTCCAAGCCTGGAAGAAAGGTACAGGGTGTTGGAAGTCCAGCTAGCGCTGCAGACGGCGAGGCTCGAGGAGAGGAGGGCTCAGGATGCAGAAAAGGGAAAAACCACCCCACTCGCAAGAAAGGTGCCAGGATTGGTGCAGAAGTTTGGGGGGGATCCCAGGAACTATCAAGCCTTTAGGACAGAGATGCAATATGCCCTCAATCTGCAGTTTGATGACTTTCCCGACGAGGAATCGCGAGTGGCTTTTGTGATTGGCCATCTCGAAGGGGGGGGCGAAAGACTGGGTTAGGCCCCTGATGGCAGTGAATAATGACGTCCTAAAGGACACGAGGAAGTTTTTTCGTGCCATGGACCTGATGTTTTCCAGCGACATTGAGCAGGGAGTGGTGCGCAGACAGTTAATGGCTTGTAAACAGGGGAGCCGATCTGTCCGTGAGTACTGGACTGAGTTTACCATGTTGATCCATAAATTGGGGTGGGATCTATCAGCGGAACCCATACAAATGCTTTTCGAAGAAGGGCTTTCTTCGGCTGTGAAAGACGAACTTTCCCGGGCGCCCAGGGCGGAGTCTATGGACCAGCTGACCAAATCCGCGCTGACCATAGGAGCACGCCAGGAGGCGAGAGCTTTGGAGAGGTGGGAAGGGAAAGGGGAACGTTGGAGGGATTTCCGCATTCCAGAGATTCCAGAGCCACCTTTCCCGCCAGGAGAGCCGATGGAAATTGGAACAGCGCGCGCGCGCGCAGTTTCAAATCCCAGTGAAGGGCGGAAGAAGGAGGGGAAGAACGCCAAGAAATGTTATCTCTGCCAACAGCCAGGTCACTTTGCCAGAGTCTGCCCACAAAGAAAGGAATGGCAAGGGATGGCGGGAGCTGTTGGGGGAAAGGAGGAGGATGGCAAGGAGCAAGTAAAAGCCAACGCCTGGCTGCCACCGTCGGGGCACAGCAGCCAGGCCAAAGAGCAGTGAAAGTGCCCACGCCGGAACCTCCAAGACCGGCCCTAGTGATAGAGGTGTTGCTAGAGCTGCCAAACGGACACCCACTAAAGATAAAGGCGCTATTGGACTCAGGCAGCTCCTGTAATTTCATGAGTAAGGAGTTTGCAGCTGAACACCAGATACAGACTATCCCTTTAAGTAACCCCTTGCAGGTGACCACGATCGATGGGAGGGAGCTGTTGGGAGGAGAAGTTAGCCAACAGACCGTCCCAATGATAATGAGGGTGGCAAGGCACACCGAACGGATAGCGTTTAATGTGGCTACCTTGGGAGGAGCTCCCATTATTTTGGGGATGAGCTGGCTAGCGCTACATGATCCGCTAGTGGGCTGGCATCAGAGAGTGGTCTCCTTTGGGTCAGCACATTGCCTAGAACACTGCAAAGAGGGGAAGGCTCCGGAAGGGGCCAGAGCCACTCTAGCAGGGACGGAAGTAACGGACAAAGGGAAGGTGCCCCGGCAATACGCCGACCTGGGCAACGTCTTCAGCGAAAGGGAAGCAGACAAACTACCGCCGCATAGACCCTTTGACTGTCAAATCAATCTACTCCCTGGGGCCCAGCTCCCAGTGGGCAAGCTGTACGCCATGTCAGACAGGGAAATGCAGGAGTTAAGGGAGTTCATTGACAAAAACCTGAAGCGAGGTTTCATCAGAGAGTCCAGAGCGGTGGGGGGCAGCCCAGTGTTTTTTGTGGACAAAAAAAACACGGATAAACCAAGGCTTGTAGTGGACTACCGGGCCCTAAATGCAGTGTCGGAACCAGTGGCTTTCCCAATGCCCAGAATTGATGACATTTTGACCAGGGTGAGGAAGGGAAAGATTTTTACTAAACTGGACCTGAGGGGGGCGTACAACCTAATACAAATAAGGAAGGGGGATGAATGGAAAACCACCATGTTCACCCCTTTGGGGGCTTTTGAATATCTCGTTATGCCCTTCGGTCTACAAGCAGGCTCAGCGTGTTTTCAATCGTTTATGAACCACGTCCTGGGACCTTTGCTCTACAAGAATTGCATGGCCTTCTTAGATGACGTGTTGGTATATTCAGAGAATGAGGAGCAGCATGTAAGGGGCGTCCGGGAAGTGTTGGGCAAACTGCAAGCAAACCAGCTGTGGGTGAAACTGGAGAAGTGTCAGTTTCATACCAAGGAGGTGGAATTCCTGGGGTACCGCTTGTCAGACAAGGGATTGGCCATGGATCCAGGCAAGGTCCAGGCGGTGCTGGAATGGAAGACACCAAAAACGAAGAAGGATGTGCAAAGATTCCTAGGGTTTGGAAACTTTTATCGGAAGTTCATCAAGAACTTTGCCCACTTGACGGCTCCCATTACTGACTGTCTCAGCAGCAAGAAGAAATTTGTTTGGACGGCGGAGGCGGAGCGAGCATTTGAAGAACTGAAAAAGGCATTCGCTTCGGAAGAACAGCTCCTGCATGTGGATTCACAAAAACCGATGAGAGTAGAAACTGATGCATCAGACCGGGCGGTAGGGGCGGTCCTTCTCCAGCCGGGAAAGAGTAAGTCGGAGTGGAGACCGTGTGCCTTCTTCTCGCGAAAGCTGAATAAATCCGAGAGGAACTACACGGTGTATGACCGAGAACTACTCGCCATTCACGAAGCGTTCCGGAGATGGAGGCACTTACTAATTGGTGCACAACACAAGGTGCAAGTGTGCACCGACCACAAGAATTTAGAGTATTGGAGAACGGCACGAGTACTCAACCAACGACAAGTGAGATGGGCCCAGGAGTTCTCCAAATTCCACTTTGAAATTTGTTACGTGCCGGGCCCAGAAAACGTCAGGGCGGACGCTCTCTCACATAAACCTGAATATTTGGAGGGGGAGGGAGCACCCGAAGAGAGACATATCATCCCAGAGGACCGCTGGGTGTGTGGGGCGGCATTGGTGGGGCAAAGAGAACTGGTAGAGGGAACGGAGAATGATGAATACGCCCAGGATAAGCTCAGAGGTCTTAGGAGGGAGGGAGAGAACCCCGGAGGTTTTGAGGAAAGAAACGGGGCATTGTATTACAAAGGGGCACTGTATATACCCAAAGGAGAATTGAGGGGGAGAGTACTCAAGCAGTTGCACGACAGCCCCACAGCGGGGCATTTTGGGCAACACAAGACCATGTGGTTGGTTACCAGGGAATTTTGGTGGCCCAAGGTGAGGGAAGATGTACGGGAGTATGTAAGAGGGTGTGACCAATGCCAGCGAGCCAAAGGGGAAAGAAGGGCGCCGGCAGGGTTATTAGAACCATTACCCACACCAGAACGGCCTTGGGAAGCGGTATCAATAGATTTTATGACTGATCTACCGAAGTCCAAGGGGAAAACAGCCATCATGGTCGTAGTAGACCTGTTAACAAAGATGTGCCACTTTGTAGCATGCTCACATGCAGTCACGGCGGAAGAGACAGCGAAATTGTTTGTAGAACACATTTTTAGGTTGCATGGCGCCCCCTTGAGGGTGGTCTCAGACAGAGGCAAACAATTTACATCCAGGTTCTGGAGGAAGCTCATGAGCTTACTGCACGTAGAGGTCAATTTTTCGACTGCCCGGCACCCTGAAACCAACGGGCAGGCGGAAAGAGCAAACGGTATCCTCCAACAATACCTGAGGTGTTATGTCAATGACAGAGAGAACGATTGGGTCGAAAAGTTGGCGCTGGCAGAATTTGCCTACAATAATGTGGAGAATGTGTCCACCGGGATGAGCCCCTTTTTGGCTAATTATGGGTGTCACCCCAGGGCATTTCCAGGGGGAGGAGGGGAGAGATGGAGCGTCCCGGCGGCCGAACATTTTGTAGAAGAAATGGAAGCGATCCATCGTCAGCTCCAACTCAACTTAGATAGGGCCAAAGAAGAATATAAGAGGCAGGCAGACAAGAACAGAAGGGAAGGTGAAACCATAAGGGTGGGGGATCAGGTGTGGCTGTCAACCCAAGGGTTGCCGTTCAAAGGGGGTTGTAAGAAATTGAGACCCAAAAGATTGGGACCATTTGAGGTCATTCAACAGGTCAACCCAGTGGCTTTCAAACTCCGGTTACCGAACCACATGAAACTGCACCCAGTATTCCGTAGGTCATTACTGTCACCGTATAGGGGGGGACGTGAAGGGGTGTCCACACGTGGACCAGTCTTAGAAGAAAGGGAACGCAGCAGCCATGTGGCGGAAATCCTTGACTCCAGGTGGAAGGGTAATCAGGTGGAGTATTTGGTAGCGTGGGAAGGGGAACCAGAGTCGGAAAACACCTGGGTAACGGCAGAGGATATCAATGACGAGGTCTTAATAGAAACGTTCCATCAAAGGTTCCCGAGGAAACCTCAGTCTGTAGCGAGGTTCTGGAGGGAGTACTTTGGCACCACCGACGAGGAGGAGGAACTGGAAGGATTCACGGAATCGGAGTTGGAAGAAGGAATAGACTCCGATGAGGAGGAGTACTTAGACACCAGGAACAGCAACCGGTGGAGGGAAATGTTCGAGACTTCAGAAGATGAGGGAGGTTCTCTCAGGGGTTTTGCTTCCTCACCGCCCATAGAGGAGGGGACGGGAGGGGGTGAAGGGGGCCCTGGAGGGGAGGTGGATGTCAGGGAACTGCCATCGGAAGGACAGGAGGTGGAAGGGCTCACAGAGGTTGGGAGAGACTTAGCAGCTGAAGAGGGAACCAGCAGGGGGAGAGAAGGAGCTCCGAGGGAAAGTGAGTCGGAGGGATGGCTCAGAGACACTTCCAGCGAAAACAGTGGGGAGGTGTCAGGACCTCCTATAGGGACACCCACTCCTCGCCGGAAACTGTCGCGCCGAGAGTCCAGAAGACGCATTTCCGTTAAGGAGCTTTTATGCTGGAAGAGATTCCGTAAGCGCCCACTGTCGGATTCTGCTAGCGACTGACGGAGCCATGCTTGAGGGGCTCCGTCGTAGGCAGAGGTTTGCGGACTTGACCAAACTCTGAGGAACTAGGATTTTACGCACGAGCAGCTCATCATCCCATCACACAAGCCCATAGGGGAAATCGTCTTGCGAAGCAGCTCAAAAAACAAAAAACCCTTTCGTCTAGCGAGTTTTTTGTCTTGCGAGGCATTCGTCTTGCGAGGTACCACTGTACTTCATCCCCAAGATCAGGTCTAGATTTAAGTGGAGGCCATGACCGCATGCATTCATCCAGACAGGTATTGCTGCCACCGAACCAGCTTCAGCATTCGCATGAAGGAGGTCACTCCAGGGAGCCAATTCCAGTTTCATTTTACTAACCCAGCTTGATGGGTCATTACTATTTTTTCTTTAGAAAGGGGAGGAGTTCCATTTTGACGGGTTGCTAAGCATTTTGTCTGCAGGCGTTGGTTTCACAGGAAAAGGCTGCTGGAAAATACCTGGGCAGGTGGATGTTGTTACTGGTATTGCCTCAGACAATATGTGAACCAGTATATAGAAGCAGGCTGACTTCTTAATCACGACTGCAGCACTCTTCTGGTTGTTTAGTGACTCCAGGTAGAACTTTATGTCCAGAACCTTGAGGTTGTAAACTCAGTCTCAAGCATGACTGGAGGTTATAAATTTGTGAGTGGGGTGTTTGCTAGCCTTCTGAATTCATCTAGCTCCCCAAAGCAGACTTGCATTGTGAGAAGAGAAACTGTTAGGTCCCCCCCCCATGTTGCTTATAATAATACATATTTTCCCGCTGAGGCTCAAAGGTGCTAGATAGTCGCCACAGTTCCAGGCTCTTTGGGCAGCCTTGGGATTGACAGGCCAACATGACCCATTGCTACCTACAGCCACAGCAACATTTGCTCTCAACACCAGTGCTATCAGCTTATTAGAATTGCAGATGAACTCCAGGTTCCATTGAGTAATTGGCAACTTCCCTCTGTCCATGTCTTGTGAATTCCCATTTATTGAAATTAGGCCAGAGCGCCTTTCTGGAGCAATGAAAATTGTCTGTGGTCATAAGAAGTTTGGAGAAATTCTTCTCTGAAAGAGTTATTTACTACATCCCTGTCTTTTAATTAGAATGCCAGTTTAGACAGGAAAGTTAAGGCAGAAGGGAATCAGAGCAGCCCCACTGAGGCTGTGCTAAGCCTAGCCTGGAGCACTTCAACTTTAACAAGATTCTTCGGACGTTTCTATAATTCTAGGAGTGGCCAAGAGCTGAAGAACAAGCTTTATGCGTGTAAACTGCATTCAGTAGCACTGTACTGTATTCTTTACGAATTGGTTTCTGCTTTGAGTCCTTCCTCCTTTCTGCTTCATGTTTTATTAATAAAAAAATACCAATATTTGTGTCTGGCTGAGCAGGTTGGCTTCTGAAGATTACCTCAGGCTGCATTTTTTATTTTGATTTTTTTAAAAAAAATTCATGCTAATTTAAAACACTGCTTTGAACATTTGCTTTTATTGCAGGGTAACTCCTAGGTGTTTGTTTTTTTTAAATAAATATTTAAGAATAACTTAAAATACATTTGCTACAGGACATCAATAAGACCAGAGAAGAGGGGGAACTGTTTAGTGAGCCACAACAGATTACTGGGGGAAATGATTTCTGCCTCATCAGTTATGCTGGACTTCTTCAGCATCCCAGCTGGAATATGTGACAGTGAAGGCCTGATGAAATTTTTAAGCAGTGTCAAAGCCCAGACAGTTTGCAGGATAAATGACTATCCTGAAGCCTGACTTGGCCCTCAGGCTAGTCAGCATTTTGTTTTATACCGTTAAACACAACCAGCCTGTAATTCTCCCAAAATATTTTATTTTTATCTCGCTTTTTTTTTTAACCTCTGGTGAAGGGGGTAAAAAACTCCCACACCCACCTATCATTTTGAAAGCCACACAAAACAGCCCTTGTGTATATTGCTTCACTTCATTGCTCTAGCTTTTGCAGCAGTTGTTTGGAAAGTTAGAATGCTAACCATGGCAGACCTTGGGGTCTCAAATTTCGGCAGTGCCAAAATTTGGTGCCCCCTGCCTCTTTCCTTCTGTTCTACATCATAGTTGTGGCACCTCCAAGATAGTAATGTGTGCAGTGCTTTTTTATTTTTTAAAAAATGTTTAGGGGTACTCTCATTTTCCTACTCATATTGAAATACTGCCCCTCAGTGAGGCCAAACTTAGATTCACAACATGTTTAGAGGTATGCGTACCCTCAGAAAAAAGCACTGAGAGTGTGTGTGTGTGTGTGTGTGAGAGAGAGAGAGAGAGAGAGAGAGAGAGAGAGAGAGAGAGAGCGAGAGCTTTACAAGTAGATGAATGCTGGATTCTAAGGACTTTTGACTGAAATGAAAAGTCCACGTATTCCACTGCTATTCCTTTTTTGTCAAACACAGCTACTTAACCAAGCTGCAGAGTGGAAACTACAAGCAAAAATGCTGAAGGAGCAAGAGACAGTTCTCCAGGCCCAGGTGAAGAACAGCTGCTGACTGTATGATGTGCCTCTTTATTTGAAGGGGGGGGGATGAATGTACTAAAGACAGGGGAGAGTTTAATATATGGTTGCGCTTCACGCTTCATTAAAGCATATCCTCTGCAAGCAAAGGTCAGATGAGCACGCACTTGGGAAGTATTTGCATTGATCTGACCACAATCTATGTCACATCTCAAGGGGCAGAAAGAATCAAAACATATGATGACCAGGGTCAGAGGAGTATTATTATTTTACTGTATTGGGTCATTTTCTCTTTAACTTTACACCAGCAATTATTTATTTAGTGCAGAGTGGGGAACCTGTGGCCTTCCAGATTTTATTGGACACCAGCTTCCATCAGACCCAGCCAGCATGCCCAGTGGTCCCTGCCCCCGCCTTGATGGTTTCTTCCATTGTCCTATGTCAGAGGCTATTAAATATTTGTTCTCTTTTTTATTATTTCTGCAAGCTACTTTAGGTATGTTTCACTTCATGATAGTTTTATTTCTAATGGGTGGTTAGTCTACGGGCCATATCCAGCCCTCTCAATCATTTTTTGTGGTTTCCAACCCACCCTTTCCCCCATTTTTTTAGAAAAGTACTTTTTTAAATTGAAAATGCAAAAAGATTTATGACCCCCCCCTCCAAATGTGCCCTTTAAAGCAAATTAAATATTAGCTATACTTCCTTTTATACCTTGGACAAGTCCACTTTGACATGTATCCCCTGGAGAGTTCATCCTTTGTCAGTGCAGCCCCCCAGCCAGAAAAAGTTAAGTCTCCCTTGTTTTATAAGATTATATATTCTGCTTTTTTATCAAATGATTCTCAAGGCAGCTTGAAATAGACTGTAATACCACATACCTCAAAAATGGAGGCAGACACGGGGCAGATCATATGGCAAGATGAGAGTTGTTTTTTAATGGATATGTGATGTTCCTACTTCCTGTTTTTGAGTCAGTTACTCTTGTGTACCACGACCTGTCAGCTATAGAACAAGTAACAATAAGTGGAAGACTTGAGTGCAGGGATAGTCTTAGTACCAATCTTATTAGTGCTCTCAGACTTGGAAGTTTTCCTAGACGGAGAAGGCGTTTCAAGGTTTTAATGGGCAGCAAAGTAGTAACACAATTCCATAACTTGTTTTCATGTTTACAATAAATAGGTGAAATCATGCAAATGCTACTAAAGCGCCCCCCCCTTTAAATAAATTTGTTACTGGGTTAATTTATTAAGAGAGAGCCACCCCTGTTATGTACTGTGCCCTTATGACAAAACAGCAGAGGTAAGAGAAGAACTGGATTTATGAGAGATTGAAAGACATAAGGGAGAGAAGACACAATCTGTCCAAAGGGAGGAAAGAACACATTTAAAAAATGCAAAAGTCTTTTGCCCTGACCACTAGAGGTCCCTGCCAGACCTTATCAAGCTTCAGAGCATCCCGCACATCTTGTTTACCTACTTTGAGTGATGCTGGTGTTTTAACCTAATAACATATGTGTTGTTTTTGCTTCCAAGTACCTTTTTCCTATTTTTAGTTTTTGATATCCTCCTCTCAAAAGATCATTTGCCCCAGATAGATTAAAATATTCTCTAAGTATAAAATAAATTATTTGCTAAAAATTATAGTCTCTTTCATCTTGCTCTCTTCCTGCAATAATTTGAAAGTTTGGGCAGGGGGTTCACCTTTCTCGTTGTGGAACTATGAACAGAATTTGTGGAACTGACTTATGTTTCCTTTCTCTGAATACAGCTTGCTCTCTATTCTGAACGATTTGAGGAGTTTCAGAAAACCTTGACAAAAAGCAATGAGGTGTTTGCCAGCTTCAAGCAAGAGATGGATAAGGTCGGTTAATACATTTTGTCTCTCAAATCTGTTCTGGAGGGCTTGCCATTTTGGTAGCGGAGGCCAGTGAATTTTCTTCAGGTTCACATGAGACTTTTTCTGTTATGGAATCAATCAGAAACACGTTGACATTTTCCTGTAAGGTGCAATGGATACCATTAAGAGTCAAACTCAAACAATTGGCTACAGGTTAGTATTGATATTTAATAAATAATAATAATTAAGCCTGCATTGCTGTCACACAGGTGTGTATACCTTATCACCATTAAACATTGTTGGAGCACAGAACCTGCATTTAGTGGCCCAAATATGAATAAGACATTTCATCATCAGCATCATCAATTTGTGTGCCGCCTTTCCATAGTTAAAACAATGCTCAAGGCGGCTTACAACATGACAAGATTTACATAATTACCAACATAACAAAAGTCATAAGCAATAATTAAACACATCAAAAAGTACACAACCAAATGGAAAACGATTTCCACATAAATCATAAAATCTAAAACTAAGAATACAGTATTAATATCAGTCACAATGTAAAATGACATAGATAAAAAATAAAAGCAATTTTAAAAACAAAACAAAAACAAAAGCGGAGCCCTCTCTGCCCAGCAGCAGCAGCAATAGGCCTTTATGGAGCCTGTCAGGCCCCGCCTTAAGCCAGGTGGAGAAAAGCAGGGCAGGGCCCTTCAGGCTCCCAGCAGGTCAGTCCTGCTGCTATGATAATCTATTATTATTTAGCAATAGGTAAGAGAGGGTAACTACTTTTTGAATGCTCTGCGGTGTATGGAAAGTGTGCTAGGGAGAAGAGATTTAGATCAACTTTTCCACAGGTATTTACTTGCATGTCATTCTAAGCAGGCTGTCCTTCCTAAAACAGCAGCGCAGATATCTCCTGCTGCATAAGTCGAGCATTTTATGAGCTGCCTTGCATCCTCTGCCAGTACCTGCTTGCACTGCCAGAGTGTCCGTGGCTCCATATGACTTAGTTGTTCTGCCAGCTATCATTCACTCAGAGATTATAAATATGGATCAGAACAACTGACCCTTTTATTTTTTTTAAGAAGGTGTTCAGTGCTGACACTGTTGCAGACTATCATGGGGCAGCTTGTAATTTGTGCAAAGCACTTAAAGATTGATTTCCAAGCAGTAAATTGTTTCCTGTGTTAATTATCCACAAAACCACACTGCCATTAAGGTGCTGTAATGTTTGTGTTATTCATTTGAATTAAGTGACTAATTCATTGAAAGCAAGAACTAATAGAGTAAAAGAACTATAATGGATTGGCAGTGCTATTACAGATGCGTGTTGCTCTTGCAACAAACATTTTGTGAAATCACTGACTTGTTACTGCTTTGAGGCAAGAATGTGTTCCACATAACATGAGATATTGCTGTGTGCACACCTTGATGTGTGGGCTTTCAGTTGATCTCTGAAGAAAAGGAAACAGTAAATCTGACAGGAAGTAGCACTTGGGGATCTAGTTGACAATGTCTTTTTATTCTAAGACCTTTATTTTCCACCATCAAATGTATTTTAACAGGGGCAGAGTACAGTCAGAGATTTTTGTGAGCTGATCCCAAATTGATGTTCTCCCATTTTCATGGTATGATAAGTGATTACAGTCGTGCCTTGGCTCCCAAACAAATCAGCTCCTGACCACCACAAACCCAGAAGTGACTGTTCTGGTTTGGGAACTATTTTTGGAAGCCGAACATCCATGACTTCCAATTGGCTGCAGGAGCTTCCTGCAGCCAATCAGAAGCTGCACTTTGGTTTCCAAACGTTTTGGAAGTCAAATGGGCTTTTGGAACAGATTCCATTTGACTTCCAAGGTACAACCGTTCTGCCATAAGTCAAACTAGAACCCTTGACTATTGCCAAGGTTGGGATCAGCACTTGTTCACATGGGATATGTGTAAATGCTGGCTTGTTCCTGATGCCAACTGGATTTTCCCCTTCTTAGATGACCAAGAAAATGAAAAAGTTGGAAAAGGATACAGCTACGTGGAAAGCAAGGTTTGAGAACTGCAATAAAGCTTTGTTGGACATGATTGAAGAGGTGAGAAACCATTCCTTGAACAATTTTAAATTGCAATCTCATAAATTGTTCTGAATAATAGCTCTCTGATACAGCTTCCATTGTAAAGTTCATAGAGCATTCATAATCGCAAAGGGGCCATAGTTCAGTGGTACAGCATCAGCTTTGCATGGAAACAGTCTCAAGTCTCCATGCTTGCCTGAAACTCTGAAGAGCTTGTACCTGTCAGTGCAGACAATACTGAGCTAGATTGATCAATTCAGTCTGACTTGATGTGTGGCAATGCAATGGAAAAAGCAGTAGGAAACAGCTCCAAAAGCTTAAAATCACTATTTTGGGGGAGGTTTCCCCAAAAAAGCTAGACAATTTGGGGGTCTTCCTAAAAAGTTTTGCAGGTGTCAGGAATGTTACATTTTGAAATATAGCAACAGAGGGTTGGGGTGGGTATTTTTAAGAGTGGTTAAAAAAAGATGGTCACCTTCTTGCAGAATATTTTGGGAAATTAAATTCTAACTTAAAAAAGGTAAAGGGACCCCGGACCATTAGGTCCAGTCGTTATTGGCCGAGGGAGCCGGCGTACAGCTTCCGGGTCATGTGGCCAGCATGACTAAGCTGCTTCTGGCCAACCAGAGCAGCGCACAGAAACGCCGTTTACCTTCTCCCCACTGGAGCGGTACCTATTTATCTACTTGCACACTGACGTGCTTTCGAACTGCTAGGTGGGCAGGAGCAGGGACCGAGCAACGGGAGCTCACCCCATCGCAGGGATTCAAACCGCCGACCTTCTGATCGGCAAGTCCTAGGCTCTGTGGTTTAACCCACAGCGCCACCCGCATCCCTAAATTCTAACTTAGTAATTGGCTAATTAGTGGCAGCTAATAAACGGGGGGGGGGGCAAGTAGTTTATTGTATGTGGGATGCTTAAGCACCTGAATGACTAGCATAGAAATGTAAGGCTTTCGAGAGGAAGCAGATTGGTCCTAGTTCTGAGATGGGGAAGCTGCCAGTATGAATGGGCAGGGTGCTTTCTTGACTGTTTTGTGGCCTCTGGGCTGTGGAAGTAACTAAAAATAAAGTATCACCTTTCTTTGCATGGATGATGTCGGGTGTGGAGAAAGCTATAACATTTTCTCTGAGCAAGATGGTTCGGGCAGGGAATTAAAAATATATAAACAGAGATGTTTTAACATGACATTCTATTCCTTCTAAATTATCTGAACTTCACATTGCAGAAGTGAAAGTCTAACAGCATATGCTACGTGTAGTTTGTAACTTCCTGACTTGACTCCCTCCCCACCCCCCCATTCTGCCAGTAAATGTTTACTTCTGTAACATTTGGCCAACTCCAAAGATTTACATAAACTATTATAAAGACCCCAGGGCCTGTAGAACCACCCCAGAGAACTGTAAGACTGTGTCAGCAGGAAAAACACTTTGCAGAAGTGGCCAGGCCACTTCTTGATTGGGGAGGTCACTTTTCAAGCCATGTTCTTTAACCATCTTCCTGATTTTTGCTTGATCTGTTAAACTGGCCCCTCTGGTTGTCCTGTGCCATTTGTCGACGCAGCAGCCTTCAAACGCTTTGTTTGCTCTATCACAGAAAGCCATGCGAGCCAAGGAATACGAGTGCTTTGTAGTGAAAATTCAAAGGCTGGAGAATCTGTGCAGAGCTCTTCAGGATGAAAGGAATGTGCTGTACAAAAAAATAAAAGATGCAAAATTCCCTGAGGAGAAGGAGGAGGAGGAGGAAGAGGAGGAGGAAGAACAACCACCACCACCACAACTAAGTGGACAGGACGATGGTCTGAAAAATGAGGCTAGTGTGAGCTCCTCTGTTGTAGACCAGGCTGCTGCTGCTGCTGCTGCTGCTGCTGAGCTACCTGCCACTGATGAGAATATTCTGAAGAATCTGGCTGCAGCTTTCATGGTGACCCATCATGAGGGAATGCTCCCAATAACCGCTGATGTGGACACACCTGAAGCCCTGGGAGCCACTAATGTAGAAATGTCTGAAGAACCGTGTAATCTGCAAGCATGTGGTCCAGTTTGTCCCCCAGAGCCATTGCTCCCAATGCCACAAGACACAGAGAATCTCTCCATACAGCCAGCAGCATCCACACCCACAGCAGAAAAACATGAAGGGGACACGGCGAAACAACTTGCTCAGGGTCATCCGGTTCTGCAGTTGTTGGATGCTGACATGGAAGGTGTCGACTAGTATTAATGTGATTATATTTCTTTCCCAACTGCCATCCTTTCATATATTTTTGTTCTAATTATGCGGCTTTAAAACGTTCACAGATTTGCTCCTCATAATCGTGGGACGTGTCTTGTGTCTGTGACATCGAGCCCCGTCGGTAGCGATGCATTTTCAGTTTGCCCACTTTTTCATCAAATCAAAGCAAAAAAGTGCTTTCCTAAAGTGTCACAAAACGATTGGTGTTTGCTCCCATCAACCCGTTTTGAAAATCCGTAAGACTCCCTACTTTAAGAACTACAGCACTTTAATTCAACATGCTCTCACAAACACCTGAGCACGTTAGTTTGGTCTGAGGTGCCAGAATGTCACTTCTAAATATAGGAATAAATGTTACATGGGGGAAGCATACTTGGGGAAGTAGAAGCTGGAAAAGCAGTAATGTGAGGGTCAAATCTTATTCCAAAGTAACTACTAATTAGTCTATGATCTTCAAAACATTTTTGTTTGGACAGATTCTCCCGGCTTCAAGCAATTGTGTGTATCCCTGGGACCCCAATTCTTTTCTTTGCCCCCAACGCAATCCTTTTCTCACAAGGAAGAATAGTTGTCTATGACAGTGTTTCCCAACCGGTGTTCCGCAGCACACTTGTGTGCCGTGAGACCTTGCCTGGTGTGCCGTGGGAGGGAGGCGGGAGAGGCGGGGCGGCGGCGGCATCTCCTGCTGGATGCAAATCCAAACATGGCGGGCGCCTCCCTCGCTCCTTTGTAGGCGGACCATCGAGAGAGAAAGAAAAGGAGGCGAAAGAGCGAGAGAAGGCGCCTGCGCGGAAAGAGGAGCGAGCAGTGCGCCTGCGCGCCGCGGCGCCCGAGATCGCTTCTCCCCACCGCCCCTTGCTTCAAAAGAGGTCCGGGGACAGCGGGAAGCGCTTCGCGCTGCCCCCGGACCTCTTTTGAAGCAAGGGTTTGCGGGGAGAAGCGATCTCCCCGCAGCCCCTTGCTTCAAAAGAGGTCCGGGGGCAGCGGGAAGCGCAGCGCTTCTTCCCCGCTGCCCCCGGACGTCTTTTGAAGCAAGGGGCTGCGGGGAGATCGCTTCTCCCGGTGCTCCGAAGCGGGGCGGGGGGGGCGGGAACACCTGCCCCAGCCGCCCCGCTTCGGAACGCAGCTCCGAAGCGGGGCGGGGGGGCAGGAACACCTGCCCCAGCTGCCCCCTTCGGAGCGCTGCTCCGAAGCGGGGCGGGGGGGCGGGAACACCTGCCCCAGCCGCCCCGCTTCGAAGCGCTGCTCCGAAGCGGGGCGGTGGGGCGGGAACCTCGCACCCCGCCGCCGGGCATCGGAACGATGCCCCGATGCCGGGCGGTGGGGCGGGAACCTCTCCCCCCGCCGCCCGGCATCGGAACGATGCCCCGATGCCGGGCGGTGGGGCGGGAACCTCGCACCCCGCCGCCGGGCATCGGAACGAGGTCCTGGACCTCTTCTGAAGGCAGGCGGGGGCAAAAGTCTTTGCTCCCCCCGCCTGCCTTCCCGGGACAGCGGAGACTTCTCCGCTGCCCCGGGCGATCTTAAAATGCTGGCGGGCGGGAGCGAAGCGTTCGCTGCCGACCCCCAGCATTTTAAAATCTCCTCGGGGCAGCGGAGACTTCGCTCCCGCCCGCCAGCATTTTAAAATCGCCCTGGGACAGTAGGGGCTTTTAAAATGCTGGCGGTCGGCAGCAAAGCCCTCCTGTCCACGGAGCTTGCGGGGCGGGAGGTGGGAAGAAGGGCTTTTCTTCCCACCGCCAGCCTTCAGAACAGCCTTCTGAAGGCTGACAGTGGGAAGAAAAGCCCTTGTCCCCCCCCCAGCCTTCAGAAGAGGTCGGGGGACAGACTGTCCCCGGACCTGGTCTGAAGGCGGTTTCCCTAGGAACGCATTAATTGATTTTCAATGCATTCCTATGGGAAACCGTGCATCGCAAGACGAAAAACTCGCAAGACGAAGAGACTTGTGGAACGAATTAATTTCGTCTTGCGAGGCACCACTGTACTTTTTATATAGTCAATATAGGCACAGAGTTAAATTTTTTAACATTTTCTAATGGTGGTGTGCCTCGAGATTTTTTTCATGAAAGAAGTGTGCCTTTGCCCAAAAAAGGTTGGGAAACACTGGTCTATGAGTCGCTAATGAAGTGTTGGATACAGAGAGATATGAAAAATAGTTAATGAGATTATACTTTTACTGTAGGCTAGCCTACAGGCCTCTCAGTTTTGTTGGATTCCCAACGTCCATCAGACTTGACCACTGGCCTTACTGGTTGGAGCTGATGGGAGTTGGGAGTCCTACAGTATCTGGAAGACTATAGATTAGCTCCCTCAACTGAACTATTTACCTATGTGCCTTGCTTTAATACTTTACCCTGTGTCACTTACAGTGTCACTATTTCAACAAGTTTGGTCACAGTTGATCAATTTGTCATTAAGTCTCATTGAATTAAACTTGTAACTGTGCCCTTGGTGGACTGCATAACATAAAAATTGAAGGGGTGGTTTTTTCCCTTGTAGAATTGGATTGATTAAATCTGTAGAATTCTATCCTGAATTTCATAATTTAACTGTTTTGCTTGCTTATCAGTAGTTTAAACACTGAATTAATACAGTTTCAATGCCTACTACTTTTCTGCTTTCCTTGTTTCCTCTTTTATTGCCTGATTGTCCATTTTCTAACATTCCTACAAAACTTGTATTATATACAGGGGTTCCAAACACACATTTGCTGTAGGCCTCCTAATTATCAACCTTGATTAAGTGGTTTAGAATGGACAAGCCGTATGATACATTCAGTAATGAGAAAAACCAGCCTGTTAAGGTGGGTTGGTATTCTTTTTTCTTTGCATTGTAGGGAAGGATGGCAATGATTGGGAATCACCAGCATACAGGCATCATTAAGCCCAGCAAGGGTCCTAATTAGGCCCACGAGACCATTTTCCTCAAACCACATAGGCCTGCGCAACACATGTCACAGGTGACATCAGGTGCTGGGCAGGTAAAGACTTGGCTAACATCTAATACACTAGTGAAGTTCCCCATCAGGAACTCCCTAGTGCAGCCAGTGGGGCTGCTGCCAGGACCTATCAGCTGACAACACACCTTCAAGGACACTTTCTGTCAGTGCCAGGGTCAGCTCCTTTGAAGTCAACTGAGATTATGACCCATGGTACCTGCCGGATCTCACCCTGATGGAGGCTTATGCATTTAGGCCATAACTGCAGAAGGATTTGAACCAGCGACCCCTCCCTGCCTCACCACCCAAATCCTTAGCCATTAAACTACACCAATTCACCTTTCAGTGCTGCTGGCTAGATTTGGGACTCCTGGGAGAAGCCTAGCAGCTATAAACACGTTTGAGGACATGTCTCCTTTGTAGCCTAAACTGGAGTAGACTTGTCCTTAGCATTAGGCAATGAATAAACCTGAAAGTTTCTCTGAGCAAATGTATCCGAATGACTAATTTATTTCAGAGGGCATTTCTGGGTGTGTGAGAATTGGCAAGTCTCCAAGACAGATTACAAAGGCTATAAAAGACTACAAAGCCAAAAAAAAAAAAAAGGAAAAAGTTTCATGTAGGCAGAGTAACATCAAACTTTTTGATCCTTCTCACATAATATCCGGGAAGAGTCCACACAAACCAGCCCAGGGAATAATTAATGGCCTGCAAGTCTATACGTGAAGCCTGTGATTCAGCAGCCACACCTGTGATGCAGAATTAATGAAAGGCAGCAAGTAGTAAGCTTACAGGTTTTGAAAACTGGGCACAGGTCCAGAACAATAGCTAGATGCTCGTGCGTACTATTGCAAATGGAAGAGACTGCACCTGTGAATGATTTTTGAGGTTTCCTAGGTGCCTTTCTTGTCCTACAAACCATCTCTCATGAACCATCTTGGCCCCGCATTGTGAAGTATACCTAGAAGAATACAGCAAAGTCACGTACCTGAAAGCTTCAAAATACCAGGTGTTCTGGGAGAGGAAATGACTGTTAGACCAATTGTAAGTCTGTGGTGTGAGTTTTCCGCTGTCCCCCTTTCACCATTAACTGCCATGCTTTTGTTCAGGCAGATTTAAACAAAACTTTAATGAAGGAATGCATTTTTTAAAAAAAACAAAGAGCCATCTTAAAACAAACCAGAAATGACCAATATTATTGATGACCAACTGGAGCTAGAACAGTATCTTCATTCAGGTCCAACTTGCAGATCATTTCGAATCTCTGACCTTGCAACACCAGCGGCTTGTTCCTTTGTGCTTCTAACACTTGTTGAGAGCTAGTGAGCCACCCACACTATGAGCACTGAAATAGCTTACCTTTATGTAAAGAACGAATCGACAGTAGAAGCACATCTTATATTTTGATCTCGGCAGGTCAAGTGATTCACACCCTTGATTCCAGAAAGCTGCATTTTCCTGATGTCAGCAGAAGGGTGTATCATTACTGGTGTTAGCTGACGCTATTGTTGGCCGTTGGGCAGGGACATCCCAGCATACACAGCCCTTACGCAAAACAAAATTAAGCTCAACAGCCAAGACAGATTGACAAAAATGGAAAGGAGCAGAATGTGCCCATGGCTAAGGTTCAAAAATAGCAAGCCCCTGTCTACACAGCTAAAAGACTTTCCAGCATTGTTTTTAAAAGCAGCTTAACTTTTATTGTTCTGTTCTGTTTTCAAAAGCTATTCCTTCTAACACCCCCCAAATGGCTTAAGTGAGAGGAAATTTCATCTGCAGAACTTATAAATGAGCAAGTGAAGATCATGAAAGCTGAGGTAGATATTCCTATATTCCTAGCCAAAACAATAAAACTAGTTACTGACATATGAGACCAACATCTGCCATTAGTTTAACTTGCTGTTCCTTCTCTTCATAATACAGTGGTACCTTGGGTTACAAACACCTTGGGTTACAAACACTTTGGGTTAGAAACTCCACTAACCCGGAAGTAGTACCTCGGGTTACAAACTTTGCCCCAGGATGAGAACGGAAATCGCAGCGGCGGCAGCAGGGGGTCCCATTAGAAAAAGTGCACCTCAGGTTAAGAACGGTTTCAGGTTAAGAACAGACCCCTGGAACGAATTAAGTTCGTAACCTGAGGTACCACTGTACTCTGGTAAATTTTTGTTAGGGGTCACCAGCCTGATGTTTCATTCTGCCGCAAACTGGCTTCACACAACAAGATGAAAGTGCTGCCTGTCTTTTTACTTTGTGTCCAGATAGCACTCTAAAGAGTCTGCCAAATGTATTTTTGCATTTGCAAACACTCCCTTTCCTTGGCACCTTGCCATTAAGTTACCAACATTCAGACTGACTGACACACCTGTTCCTTTTCTGCAGCCTGCCCATACATAGACTCTCTACTGTGATGAAAGACTAGAAGCACATTTGGGTACTATTCAAAACATTCCAGGATGCAGATCTACCACAGTCAAACATAAATGCTGGAACATGAGCAAGAACCGTTCCTTGTGCAGTGTTAGCCCCTTCTTTTCTCTACTGGGGGAAATACTCAATACGTAGAATAGGAAATCTCTAAGATGCTCCATACAGGCCATACATTTAAAGTAGATTTAAAGCATACACACACCCAAAGAATCCTGAGAACCATCATTCGTTAAGGGTGCAAGGAATTGTCCCTCTGTGAAGAGTAAACTAGAGTTCCCAGGATTCTGGGAGAGGGTGCTTTAA